TGGAGCTCAGATCTTGTGAGGTCATTACTTGATATATATGTGTGTATAGTTATATTTATGTACAATCTAAATTATTCGTCCAATTTAATCACAAAAGTACTTGTTACCGCATCACTTATCCGACAGTCAGCGATGTGGACATTAGAAGGATAGTCAGGCCAGGTGATGAGCTCCAGATTTATAAAAACTGTCAAATACATCTTACGTAGTAGAATCCTTACATGGTTGCACTTATCAACCAAGTTTTCACAAGTGACACTTCTGGAAAGTATGCCTCAATAATATCGTTGCGGATTAGCTGATACGGGTCTACTGGTCCCTCAGACCAAACATCTTTTTTGTCGAGTTTTTTCAATTACATTCAAAGGAGACAACTTTTTGCAGCAAATTTCTGGAAAGTGTAATAGTGTACTAGTATCCTAAGTAAGCATAGCACGTTTTGAACTTGCAAAGATTATTTTGATTCCTGCATTACAAGCAACCGTCATAATTGACACACTGGGTAGAAACTTTGCCGATTTCAACAACGTGGTGCTGATATATGAGCTTTTCCGTAGTGTAGTAACCAGTGATTAAAACTCACAAATACGCTGGTTCAAGCAGGTTATCATCTGCAGGGCACGCTGAGCCCAGTGTACTTCTCGCACGTCTCAGCTACTTTCAGAAGCACACGCACTATTACCCAGGCACACAGTGAATAACCCCTTAGTCCAACTCTTTGGGCTTCGATTCCTCTGCATGAATCTGTCATCTTCGTACAAAAACAAACCTTCTTACTGGTAGATGGTGTAGCTGTCTTCGATCAAGCCAACTCAAACGTATTCAATCACCATAATCCGTAACTTTATCGCTAAAATCAACATATTATATCCGTTTTGACCAGAAAACATTATATGGAATAGTGCTAACTGAGCTCTCCGAAACTAGCTTGTATTCAGGTAATCATCATTGAAGGTGGTACCCTTAGTTACATCGGACGCAAACAAGCTAACTTTGCGTATTTTTTTTCGCTATTTCCTATGGATATCAAACTGGTATCTGGCGCTGCACCACGCGCAACGCTTATAAGACTGCCTGTTATATTTTCAGATCTTTCACATTTGCATCCAACAGCTTAAGGCTGTATTGTGGGATCAGTGTACCTCCGGAAGTAGTGCTCAAGAACAGACTTATGTAAGCAAGTCAGGTGTGAGCCTGGAGGTACTACTATCGTTTAGCAAAACCCAAGTGACGACAAGTAGCAATATACGTTTCGAAGAATAGATAAACTATAATTCAGTTGAAGGAGTTATTATTGAAGGTGTTGTTTTCCTGTACATGTAGTTCAGAATTCCTCCTGAGCAAAAAGCCAGTTTCTCTCAAATTGGTTCAGCACCGAAGTATATTAGGCTTCCGTCTCTGGGTTGCCAGTGACAACCCTTAAATCAGAGATCTGATAATCTGAAATGGCGGATATCAGACAGGGTGTTGCTGGGGCTCTTTAACATGTGGTGATGTCGGATTCAGATTGAATGACGCAAAGTTGGGATGACGTCCTTGTGTGACACATGCAGAGTATTTGGCATATTCTTGCTAAAACCGGTATCTAAATATCTAGTGACTGGTGGTACAGAGCGCCGTTTTACTAGAAAAACCCGACCAAATAATCAGCTTTTTGCATCCTAATGGTGACCTTTTTATCCGTTTTTCCGCCTTCTTGTTCGACTTTGGGAGAGCCAACAATTTATCAAAGCTGAAATTCTTATAATTATCATCATCATCGACAGCGTAACATCAGTGTCCAACAATGATATTCCACTACCGTGAGTTCTGCTAATACTTTTGGTTTATTCCGAGAGATTTGAAACTGCATAAGCTTTGCGTTTGGCACCGTGTATGCCCATTCGCAAACTCGCTGTTCACATTGCCAAAACTAAAATATCACCATTCCATTAAGTTTAAAATGCTTCAATTTCGATATTACTTCTCTCTGCTTCGAGGGAAACGGGCATCTTGTGGGTGGTCTGGAAGTGGTTTTCTCAGAGCTCAACTACACGTCACTGCGAACCATTTTGGTTTGCCATTGTAGTTTACTCACAGTTTAGTCTTTCTTTTCAGTTATCCACCCCCTCTGTGTGGTTTCCTTAAAAATTAGCAACAATTTTCGGACTGTCAGAACAAAATTCTGGGATTAATCACTCAGAGTGCTCTTGTTGAAAAGTAAGTCTAAAGTCGGACATTTTTACAGACTGTGTTCTAAACAAGTCACTTCATATTTAGTCAAGCACACAGTTCTACATCAGCAAGTGAAATTACCACAGTCCAACTTGTTCTGTGAACCTAGAACGCTAATGCCGCGATTCAGACAAATTTTTTGGCAGTAGGGTTGGTGAATTTTTTGAAAAAAACCATTACACTTGCAAAACGAAGCCAAGTTGTTACTTCTCCTCGTGTATAGAACACAGGACATGCGGGAAACTTCGATACTCCAGGAACATGACAAATCAAGAGAGACAATTTGACTTTTGAGCAGTGAATTAAGCAATCACCTATATAGCACTTTTACCTAAGAGCATAGGACGACAGCATCCAATTAGTTTCCCAGTATTCTGTGGTCAAGTATCGTCTTCGATCGCCAAATCCTTAAATTACCAGTTCTGAAAGCCACAAGAACCCAAAATATAATACCTTGTGATACATTTATTGGGACAGCAGGCCTATGGCGGCGCAGCCTAAATAAGAGTGGTTATTCTAGGTGACATATTTTCAGTTCCAAACTTTGGTTGCCAAAACTTCGGCTCTCAGTATTCGTACAATGGAAGCGAATTTTCGAAAGCTATGATGTGTCCCCGATGGACCAAAGCAATTGGGAAATTGAATTTAGAGTACCAGTCTATTATTCCACCAGACTTTTTCGCCAGAGCTGTGATCGCTGCAGTGGACAATGAAATTTGGTGAGCTGCAAAAATATGAACTCGGATTAAGATAGATTTTGGTTTGAGCACATACGCAACAAAATGCAACATCCTGGCACAAAACGCTTTACTCCACACGTAAAGGTTTTGCAGCTAAGAGCACTGTGCAGCTAATGGGCCCCGGGAACTTTTCACATTTTGAAGTTGAGGAGCAATCATCTGAAATATTCAAGATTTGTTTTAGCCGTTTCTGTGCAACAGCCACTCATCAAGGGTCCTAGGCGACAAATTACGAACAAAGTAATATTCACGCAGAAGTCACCAGGGAATTCTAGCAAATCACTGGTGAGCTAGAATGCCTCCATTTGAGGAAATAATTTTTAAAAGGAATGAAAAAAGCAGATGACCCATACCTTGCCCCAGTTTTTAAATTATGCATTTTGGCCAGACAGCTGTTTTATGAAAAGCCCCAAAGGAAAAGGTAAATAGATTTATTTATTTGAGGCTAAGCATAGAATAGTGCCCATCCGAGATGCGTGTTGATAAAAAGTATGATTTACTGATGGCGCGTATTGCTGTTTTTTCCAATAGGTAACCTTTATTATCCAAGCTGAAGGATTCAGAGTTTAATATAATAAAACGAATATCGTTGTCACCCACTGATCAGACAAACATAAGACAATATTTTCCCATTCCAAAAGTAGTATTGCGGTCACATTTGCGAGGATAGAGGATCTGTTTCTTCTTCATACTTAAAAGTACTCTACTTTTCAGGATAGGCCAATCTTAAGAGGGCATTCTTTTCCGGACTCATGAAGTCTATAAGTTAGAGTGAAACATCACCAGTTAGTGAACAAGCCTGGTAATATCCTAAAAACCTTGGAACATGTGTTGATTGCCAGCTTATCTGCACTTCCAAATCTACTGCAAGTAGAAAGGCTTCGGTACAATTCAGTACATCACATCCCATGTCCACAATGTTTGTTTTCCTATGCGCATCTTAAGCGGCTCTCTGCAATTTCTCAGAGTGGCAGTTTCGTGATATATTTCGGCATTTTTCTCATCAATAAAGAACGTAAATTCCATGAATTTTTTCGATCGTTTATTCGGTGTCGTCATAACTTTTGTCGAAATTGTAGGATTGGACGTCTGAGTTAACGGAAGTATTTAGGGATAAACAAACTGCATTTGTATCGTCGGGGAAGTTAATGTTTACTTTCCAAAAATAATTCATAGGTTTGTTGTTGAATTGTCGGTAAACAGGAAACCGACATGCGACTTGTCAGATAATACTGTAGCGGACACTGAATCCTGGTGTTTCATGCGGCGCACATGGTGAGGTTATGGATGTCAGGAATGAAGGGTTTGAACGTGAGATTCATACAACCACCAGCTAAATTTGTTCACAATAACATGAGAAAATCATTCTCAGACCAACCACAGAGTGTCCACATTTTCAAAACTATGGAAAAATACTGTCAACGCATACGATATATGAATGATGTGTGGTCTCGCAATTATTAGTGGTGTTAAGTTTCACACGTGTGAACAAAGTTTACGCCAATCAGTATTCACTATCCAAGAGAATTACCTAAGCGACTTTTGAAGCACAATGTAGGCAGAATTACTTTTGATGGAGGTTTGAACTTTAATGTATTTTGCGAAATTTCTACAATAAGAGTAAGAAACCACGAATTTCTATTCAATGTCCTGCATTGGTCAATTAAGACACCACCCTTGCTGTGGGAGTTGCTTCAAACTGACCAGAAATCGGGTTGGATAAAAGAACACCGTGTTTTACTTTGAAATTATTGCAGAGTCAACTTAACTCCCAATATGGCAATTCGGGGTAATTCATTCCCTCTATTTCTGATGCCTGACCTAGATCTGCCACCTTGACGTGGTGGTCGGGCTTGAGTGCTTCAATGATCCCGCGGGCTATACTGGCTGGAACGAAGTTCCACATGGTGTAACCATGCCAGGAAGGCCAAAGGGGAGCAGCCAGACCAAGAGTAGCGACACCCCGTACTACGAGTAATCGTGCTACGAGGCGGTCTGGGGGTAAAGTCGTACTGTCCTCTGCGACAGGGGTGTGAAGGCAGTAAGATGTTTCCACCAGGCGACCAGCATGTCCATATTTATGGAAGCAGCGATGCTGCCTTCCCCCGAGGAAGGACGGGTTACAAAAGGTCGGCCCCAAAAACCACACACTCCGATCGCCCAACGGTTGACCGTGACGGCCGCCGCATTGTTCAATACAGTCGAAATACTTTTAAAGCCAAAGAGCCCGGTGCTGCTCAGAAGGCACTTGCTGTGCGCAGCCGCATCACGAATGAGACAGTAATGCCTTATTCCCTGCGCCCTCGGGTTAGGTCAACCCGCTGAAGCCCAGCAAGTCAGACTGTTGAGTCATCGTCCCCGGGCAAGGTCCCCAGAGAAAACCCTACATTCTCCCACTGCATCGTAGGTCAAACTTTTGAGTCAGAGGCTAGGGCCAGGGTCCCCGAACAAAACCCTACGTCCTCCCATTGCCTTGTGGGTCAGACTTTTGAGTCAAAGGCTCAAGGTGGGGTACCTCAATCAAACCCCTTCCTCAGCCTGGGCAACCGATAAGTACCATTTGCCCGCGCATTTCGGCGTCCACGGATATCCCTCCCCAACCCCTTTCCACCGCACAAGCAAACGTCTCTGGGCTATTTGACAGTCAGTCATCTGACCCTAGGCTCCTCGCTGCCTACAAACATTTCTGATCAAAATGATGATGACCGGATATGCTATGTTGTCCTTTTACTAGTAATCGTCAGATTAGTCTAAAGTTAACTAATCCAAGACTTTCGAATTTAATGAAACAAAATAATCCATCTCCGTTTAAATGGAATACTTCGCTTAATTTTTGCTACTCAGGACTCATGTGTTGTTCGAAAACTTATTGAGGACACATGTAACTGTTTAATGAAATGTTAAAGGATAGACGAAAACTCGGAAATTGCGTCTACCTGAGTAGCTGTAAGAAGAACAGACCCGATTGTGGGCTGTCGAGTTTTCCGCAACCTTCAAGACAGCGTTTCCAGTTCAAGTGTAAAGTGCAGACGTTAAGTCACCACCGACCCACCCAAGCAACCAAACCCTGATGAACTCTCCCCAGCGAAAAAACTGCAAGCTTATTGTCAACCTCGGTGGATAGATCAACAGCCTCCTTTTCAGTAGCTGATTTATACCAATTTACACAAAAAATCATGTTTTTTAAACCTATTTTCTAAGACATGACTTTGGTAATCCTTGCAGGAAAAATCAAATTAGCTCAATCCAATGCGCAAAAGCTTTCCCTATAGGAGACTGGCATCCTGATGTTTTTCATCTGGCATTTCAGTAAAAGGCTGTCTTTAAACTCAACCACATATTTTTGTCGTCACAGCTAGTAGACCATCTCAGTCGGCAGCAGTGGCTGAAATGTGACCTGACAGCACTCATCCTGTCCAAAAGATGTACGACTAAGCTGCTGGAGGTTGTTCGAAGTCTGACCGAAGGGCAGCGCTATCCAAACCTCCGGGTTATGGTGAATCAGGCATAAACTTATTCTGGTTTTTCACGTCCTAAAGGAAAAAATCATTCTGGCTGCATGGAGATTTCGAACATCACTTGTTTCCAATGCTTTCTTCTATTGCCTGATGACAAAAGCATTTCACCGCCATCCTGAATAACAGTCCTCGTGTTCGTCAGTGAGTTTTCATGTCGGTATGTTCTTATATACAGTAAAATAGCTGAATAACTTCAGTGCTTCATGAGCTTGCAGAAAGTTGAGCTGGCTTATTCAACCATGGCAAGATCGAATGCCTGATTTTAGTAATAGAACTAAAGTGTTAATTTGAGAACGAAAAGACAGAATCAAAATGGAACCCAATGTTCAACAGGATAGCGCTGTTATCGTATGAAACACTTTACTTGACTCCACATTCGAAAATTCTATAGTGTTCTCTGAAAACTTCTCAAGCTTAAGCTCATTTTGGGGACCGTGATGGGAAATGTTAAGTTGAAACTGCGCCTAATAAATTGATACACCACGTCCCACACACTATTTTTCGTTTTGAATTTTTTCGGTTCTCATCAAAATATATGGACGGGCTCAGCGGCTATAGCGCACATTTACTAACCGAAAGATCCTGGTTCGAACCCTACCTCTTCCTCTCGATTTCCTCTCTCTAGGCTTGGGCAACCTGACAGTATTCTAGCCCTCGTGCTTCCTTCTGGTGGCATGGCAGCTGGGTACCGAAAATGTCTTACACCGAATGATTGCATGAGGAGATCTTCTTGGATCCAGGTGACATCATGCGCATCCCAGAGATATTTTTGGAAGGCAAGACCTATGAAGGATACAGATTATTTCCGAATAAATCTGATGTGTTCAAAATCGCAGTGAATGCTGATTACCATAGGATATATTTCCCTCCTTCCCCTAATATTTATGCGGTAAGTGGCTGATGAAATTCTTACTGAATCAGTGGGTTATAACCGGAATATATGGAGGACAAATATGGGCCACTTGTCGGCGGTTTTTAAGTCTCCGCTAGTGTTTGGTTGATTGCAGTATTCAACAAGCAGCCCTTGCCTGTTATCTAATAAGTAGACTGATTTCGTTTAAGCTTTCAACGTAGTCCGGAATATCATCATGCGTTCAAGTAGCAGACATTCAGAAAAAGACCGCTAGAAACCAGTAAATAGACGGAGTTCCTTGATACCAGGAGAAAAACACTTACAAATACGATGTTTATTTAATAAACACTACGCAGTCAGTTTTTTTAACGCCCAAAAGGCCAGAATTAAGCCATGTGACACGGACCCTGTATCTCTCACCCGTAAGAGATAGATGTCTCTGATCCTCAATGGCCGTAAAAAAACTCATTCACCATCAAATTCGAGAGCAGATATACACCAGAAAGTTTTGCCCCAGGAATCAATAGACATGAACTAAAGCGCCTGCCCCTTACCGACCGTTCGTTTGTGAAAAATTATGTCTGCTTATATTGTCTTGCTTTGACGTGATAGACCTGAAACTACATGGAAGTTTGTAGGACGAAGTAGGCATTCGAATAAAAATGGGATAAGTCAACTTCTGCCAAAGACTCCGCTGTCCCGGCAACGGATGAAGCGCCGAGGTTGCTTTTTACCTAGGGAGTTCGATAAACAAAAGCGTTTCGAACAATATCGTATGTTTACCCAAATTGTGAGTTTGATCTAAGACTCTAAAACGTTCGTGACTAAAAACTTCTTTCAGTGGTTAGTTTTAACTTTTTTAAGTAGGTACTAGTTGTAAGCTTGCGTCTCCTATCTCAGCAGACGGGACTACAACGTCAATCTCACTCCACGTGTAGTAAGCGTTTCGAAAAACAAAAAGCACTAAGGATAGTGTTTGGTAAACTGAAGGCTGAATAATGTTTAAAGACAAGTCATATTATTTTGTCTCTTTGACAAGGATGTACACTTTGCAAGGACACCTTGCAGCGTGCAAAGTTTTAGTTCGTCACAGCTTTGAACGATCAACCCCAGTCGCTGCAGAATCGAGAATTAATGAAACGTTTATGCTACTCAACAGCCTGGGAGTAGTCAGATGCAGAGCTTGATATACTTATTCAGGCTTTTCATCGATCCGTCTACTTTTAATGATCCACGAAAAGATTACCGCCTTGTCGGGAACCATACGAGATCAGGACTTACGTACTTACATACGTTTCTCAGACAACCAAGTTACATCATTAAATCACGTCACCAACACGCACTACGTCGTTACCCCAAATCGTGCCACATTTTCAAGCGTCCTTGGTGAAATGAACCAGCCGGAAAATCTGTGGCTAACTTGCCATTCTGATTGGCCAGTGAGGTGATAAAATGACTGTGATCATAGCGGAAATGTTCCCCCTATTTGATGTGCACTTTTGGTGGACTGAGTCTTCATCGATAATCCTCGGATTTTCGATTCTGTTATAACCTTTATCATGTTAAGGAAGGCTTAACCCCAAGGTTGCTTTTGTTCCATTTCCCTTAACCTACACCCTAAATCTTTGATTTCAGTTACGGAAGCTTGCTTAGTTGGGTTGCCTATAATTTGTGTTAACAAAAAAGCATCCCCGGAATTCTGAAGGCCATATTTGTCTGCTAACCAATGTTTCTTACAGTTCACACAGTTCCCTACTCTCGTTGTGGAAAGCTGGGGAGTAAGGGCTTCCTCTGGATGATCACTGATCCGGTTGTTTAACAGACAGTACTGAATCAATAACTTGTTCGCAGCAACTTCTTTGTCACTCCAGGGGATATCACTAGCATGCCGCTGGGTGATCATACACCCTCTTTTTGATAGCGTTTATACGATTGTTAAATGAGCTTTTACTAACTGGTGTTTGAAACTAATATATGCAGTGTGGCTGGATTGGTCACAATCTGTTTTATTTTATGGTTTGTCTTTAATAGCCACACAGCCTTGGAGTCCCCGATGGGTCTCCTGTGAACAAATACATCTGCAACATGTTCAACGCCTGCTTGGCCACATATCCTCAGTACGAACAAAAAAGAAGGGCACCAATAGACTTTCTAGTCTTGAGTTTATCGCTAAGGTCACAATGCAAAACCTAGAGTAAAAAAATAACATGCAAGACTATCAATCCAAAAGTATGGGTCAGTTGAGTAGACGATGTATTTGCTTCATAAATAAAGAGGGAACTGAAAAAAAAACAGACCAATTAGTAATCACTCCTGGTGACATCAACTTCAGACTGGAAAGGAAAACGATGGCACACGGAGGTTTCGCATGTCATCGTCATTAGACTATTAAAAAGGTAAACAAAAACGGTATGTAGAACGACGACGGAAGCCCATGGAACTCCAAACCACCACGTCAAAATTCGGAACTGGTACTTGGGCGGTTTCTTAGTCTTTTCAAACGTCACATCATGCAGTACTAAAGTGTGGTCCCAAAGCTAGTCAAATTTAGAAATAATATGAATCGGTCTTGGAATTTACGGTACCCTGTCGTTGAAGGGGAGAATGGCGAATTAGGCGAATAAAAAACAAACAAATATTTGCCACGCTAAAATGTCAAGTTCGTGTCCCTAACAGACAAGTTCTTCAAACAAGCGGTGTATACGCCATAAGTAACAAATTTCGACATACCTGCTTCTCTTCGACAAAATTTCTTAAACCGAATCCTTCTTCTGTGGGGCTTGCAGGGTGGACATTTCGGGTCTATATTATCCAAAAAATAATAGAAGAAAGTGTTTTGACTTATCAGAAATACTAATACAAATTGGTAAGATTATTTTCCTGCCCAGTCATTGTGTAGGTTCACTGATTAATACACCAGCCCTTGAAAACCGCATAAAAGGATGGAGATCCTTTCTGTGATAGAAAAAGAATCGAAGTTGAGGTTCTTTCTTAGATTCTGATACATCTGTGTAAAATTTTGTTTTATTACAGTAAAGGATGGAACGCCGGTCGAGAAAAGGATGAAACTGTGCAGGTCGAAGGCTGATCATCGTTTTTTTGTGACACTTTTCGGTTGACACGGTGTGCGCGATGCATTAACTAACTCTGGTTAGTAGTGCCTGACACAAAGCCTGGTTTCTCAACTCTTCAAAGTTTTGACAAGCCAAAACTGCCACCAAATATCACACCTTCAGGCCTCCCAGCAGTGCACTCCTTGCCAACGATGAAGCGCGACAGTTGTCCGAACAACTTTACTGTTTTCTGGTCACACCTATTAGTCCCAAGTTTTTTTTCAAAACTGTCTTCCTGGTTTTAAGAAGTGAAAGCCAAGTCGTAAATAAGTTAGAGTATACATTTCAAAAGACATTCTTTCATGGTGCAAGGCTTTTAACTTGAAGTGCAATTGGCAAATCACACTAATAGCAACAATAACAGATTGTCTGAGCTATTCTAAAATGAATCAACAACTAGTAGCTAAGTTTCCGGAGAATTCATCATTATTACTCCACGGATAGGTTCAACTCCAGTTTTCATAGTGTTTATATTGGGCCCACATGTGAGGAGGTCTAATAAGAAAAACACCAAAAAAGCAAAATCAAAGTGGTATCATTTTTAGGTTATATTGGGCTCGGTAACATAGTATTCCGGTTCTCCGTGATCTACAGAAACTCCAGTGCGTTGTGAGCTTTACACTCCCAAATTTCTGGCTGTTATCCCTGATGCACATGAAACAGTGCTGTATGTCCACTTCTGTACCATGTTCTGATCTCTGCTTGGAAAACAAAGGTTTTGACTGTGTTTCGCTTTTCATTTCAACGCCCAATGGTGAACCGAAAGACGTCAGACCGAGGCTTAAGTGGAGCTATCGTTCACAAGGCTGCCCAATCAAAGACGCAACCCAAAGGACAACCTTGGTTTTTGGTGGGTTGGTGTCCAGAATACCAAAGTAAGTATCCTAGACACTTACCACAGGGTTAAGGAAAACCATCGACAGATCGTTAGAGATTTACCTAGGTGATGAAAACGTGAGATCCAAACGGATCTCTCACCAGCCAAATATGCGGCGCAAAATATGCTTCAACATTCATTTGAGCAATAGTCAAACTATCTGGATATATTTTTTCGACGAAAACTACCATCTGTTACACTAACGACAGGGTCAGTGAAAGCCCTTTATAGTTCACAACAGGATGCGTTCTGTGTGGGGCTACAAAATGGTCCAAACTGGCAGTGACCGGTGAAGTTTTCGGATTTTAGCTCCATAGTACACAAGTGTTCTCAGTATCTCACTCGTTCCAATATTTTACGTCTTCTAAACCGGATTTTAAACATTCCACGCGGTCCACAAATTCACGGACAAAAATTTCTCGCACAAATAGCTGTTTTGATAAAGTCATACCGTAAGCTTACAGAACCCAACTGACTTACTTTCCAACTGTACTGTTGGAAAGTATCTCTTCGGAAACTATATTAATTTATTCGCAAAGAGTGCCCGTCAGAGCGGAAAGCCAAGGAATTCGATCATAAAAAGTGGGAAAATTTTAAACTAAAATGGTGCCTGATTATGCTTGCAGTATTTCTTCGGGAACTGCCTCCTGGTGCATTAGCCTCCCGTTGCGGATCGTACCTGCACTCTGGTCTACTAGGCACAAGACACAAATTTCGGTGGACTCAGTAACGACTAACAAGAAAGAAGTTCTGATCTCTGAAATCTCCATTTCTATGGGACCTACTCTTTGGAACTGAGGGCTCTAGGTAAGTCGGCCAAGTCACTTCAAATTGGCATAGCCTTACGGTTTGCGACCAGTAAATTGGAGGAAAAAGAGCAAATTCCAAAACGAACCAAAAGTGCACTAAATTGTTTCTAAACTCAAAGATGCACTACTGATCACATACTAATATTGAACTCCCCACCCACTTTCATGAACCGCGAATGGAAACGGTAGTTTGTTGCTAAAAAATTGATAGAGTTGATAGTTACGTGACATTAGTGCGGTTCATCTCGTCATTGCATTGCCCCACGCTGAATGAATGAACTGAGGACCGCCACTCACCTAATTTGAAACATTGTTTCATGGTGACTGCAGTTTATTGTATTCTAAGTCGATTTCTGTGAATATTTTTAACTCTCAAAATCTCTCATCCATAAAGGGAAACTTCCATAAATCTGAGAATCCACCGCTCAGGAAGCAGTTCAGTAACACAAGAACGTACGTGAAGTTTGGTACTGAAGAAAAGCTGTGCTAAATGATGCTTAAGTACAACTTATTCAGGTCGTTCATTAGCCAGTCTGGTCCACATGGTATGTTGCTCAACCATGCACCAGACGATCTAGAGTTTGGCATGTCCCTAAAACTGTTGATGATTTACAACAGCCTTGAAACAGCGGCGTGGCAGTTTTCGGCCTTGCATCACACAAAGAAAAAGCTGATTGACACGCTCTTCTTGTGTCCACTCAGTTCTACTATATCGATAAGGTTATTTGATGTGTTGCAATTCAAAAACGATACCCTGAGCCTGTCACTGTTGATCTACGGTGAGAAGTTAGTTGAATAACGGAATGTACTGAGGTGATACAAGTTGATATGTCATATTCGATTCATATCCTCTTTTGATATAGGTTTGATGGATCAAGTTTCATCCAACCGACGTTGCAAAAAGTGACCATATTTCTTGGGTTTTTTTTCAACCGGACTGATAAAAGAGCTTTGTTTCATCACAACTGAGTAGAATTGAACGGCAAGATCTATTCCAACAAAAATAAAGTAGGCGTGTGTTTAGACAGGAAAGAGCAATGGAAAACGTCAAACGCTTGATAGATTTGCTGGAAATAATCACAGTGACCATAAATGAGATGACGGCTATACGCTAAAAACTTTAGGATACTCTCTAACCAACAACATGTTGGGTTGTCTACATCTATACTTGTGACAATTTTACATTTGATCTACGTTTCTGCGCCACGGTTTTTGTACACCAATAGCAGCGGCTACATGGAACTGCTTCATGCAGCTGGTCAAATTTACACATCACCCATTAATGATGGTTTCAATTCTCTGAGGGATACAAGAAAGCTAAGAGATGAGCAGCTGATGACAAAGATCATCATCGACATCCTTATCATTACTGCCATCATCATCATCTGCACGTTGATAAATTTGCCGGCCATGTTTCCAAATAAACTCAGCACACCATCTTTGACCTATTACTGAAGCTAACCTTGAATTCGACAACTACACTTATTTGTATATCAACTGGGTTTTCACGGGAGACTCAGCTGCATCGCTCGTTCTTATGGTATTCTAGATTTACCTAGAGTTGAACGAATAGCTAATCTGATTTTTCTAAACACAATCTATTTTCACCACTTTTACTTGGTATCATGCAATGACAGATGGAAGCAAGCAACAATACAGGCCATTTTTAGTGTGAGATAAACGCTTCATTTTAGGTACTCAGCTGCCTGACTGGTTTGTCTGATAAAAGTTGTGGAAAAAAGTTTTCGTAAGCAGATAATGAAAATCACTCACGCGGCTCTGTGTTGATCGGTTGGTGGAGGGAAGAGGCCACTAGGAGAGAAAAGAAATTGTTCAGGTCATTTTGATGGGGCTCAACATACCTATCGATGACAACAACAACAGAAAACAGACCCTACTCTTTCACATTCTGTTTTTTGTTTAACCAAGGCACTGCCTTTACGGATACCCCTTTTGAGATATGTGAATAAGATGAATTCTGAGGTAAAATTACAAAACACTGTTCATCCATCCTTTCATATACACCGAGAAGTCGAATTACTGCTCTGCTGCAGGTGGTGTACTGTATTTGACAGGAAGCTGATGCCTTGGATATAATGTTCTTACTTAGTGCAGTAGATCTTCTTAGAGGAAACAAGATTCCTTGTAATCATTTTGGACAGAGCAGGTAAAATACCCTCACTGACATAAATACCATATTCGGTTACGTTACACTATTAGGATCAGTCTATTTTTACCGCACCTCAGGTGTAAACGAAACGAAACCTAAACGAACGAGAGGCATGGCTACTCCCACAACAACGAGAGTCAAATTGCTCCACAGATATCAAACTGTAGCAGCATGGACGTCATTCTACTAGTTTTAGAACAATGCTTGTTTGGAAGACTCAGGCTGAACATTCACAATCTTACCAACGATCAATGTTCAGTCGCGTTTAGTGGCCGAAACTTCTACTGGTTCATTAATCTCCGGAAACACCACTTGTTCAGAAGAAACGTTTTCTCGTTTCAAGTTCTGGTGGTCACCCCTATGAAGAAACAGTTTTAATGAATCCCACGAGTGACTCACTGATCGGGGTGTGAACAATTTTGCGCTACCCATTATGACTTATGACATTTGAAAATTCATTTTGCCATTCAAACACATGTGGAAAGGTCATGGGAAGATCAAAGAGACTGTAATGCTGGTGTTAGATTCAGCGCCATAACGTCGTTACCATAGCAATGGCATGTAAAACGCCTCTGAAAGTCAAGTGAACGGCTAAAATATCACTATTTACTTTCAAACTGTTGAAGCTGTGATCTACTCCTACCCATCGATGTAAACTGACCTGTGCATGAGGAATTTTTGATGGTTGAATACAAATTATTTGGACTTCAACAAAATAATCTTCAGTAGTTCAATTTAGCCCTGCGAACCAGCAAGTCAGCGATTTAGTGCAAAGGGGTCTGAGTGGGCATCTAGATCGACTGACAAGCCAGTGACACGTGAGACGTTCAAATCCTAGCACGCTGTTTCTTGAATACCATCAAACAACCCGATGCTTCAGTGGTCATATCATGAAATAAGTATTCCAAAGAGTAAAAAGTATTCCTTAACATGGTTGTCTACTAGTTGGAAGCCACCTCAGCCATCGTAAAAACCAACTGTTCTACATGTTAGCTGAACGGAATAATTTCTTCCAAGTGTTTCAAAAGTTTTCATCGATGCTTCTTGTATGAAGAGCTAGCCCGGTTTTGCAGTGGAACGCACATACCATGCGGTTTTACCGATTGTGAATGAATAGGATGCATGTGGGTTCACAGTCAGTGTTTTGTCGGGTTCCACGGTATCACCATTTTTGACATAGGACTACAGCTCGCGTGAATCTCTGGACCACTCCTAATGTAAGCGTTCTGGTACTCTGATACTTGTACCTGTTGTTACTGTGGCCAGATGTTTGCATCCATGCACGTGTAACCGAAAATTGTCAAATTGTCAGTAAATGCCCACCAAAACCATGCGCTTATTGTATATATATAT